CGCTGTCCTCCGTTAGGCGCGGTAAGTGTGCATTATGACGCAACGCACATATGTGCGTGTCGGCACGTTAGTGCTTGTCCGTCGCACGAGAACGTGCCAGCAAGTGTACGACATACGTTGTTTTGCATGACCTCGTTTTGTGTCGGTTTTCGTTTTTATTTACGTACATCCTTTACTACGACATAGCGACTCGCCGTTGTGACGGTGTCCACGCATACGTGTGCACGATGTCCGCGGAATCACGTCATGTTAACATGTGTACGACAACTTTGGTGTCGTTTCTTTTTATGCACGCGCAAACTATTTTATGTCAGTTCTCCTTGTACATGTTTTGTGTAGAACTGTTTATTTTAGATGTATGTATATTGCGTGTCAAAGCAAGTGCTTAACGGCCGCGATAATTAGTCTGTATTACCGGTGTTCATCTTGCTGCTTATTATTTCTCTTGCTTTTTCGACATAGCGAGTTTTCGCGATATCCGGCCCTGCTTCTGCACAACCGTCACGCATCGTCGCTGCGATGCGTTGCATATTTGCGTGTATCGTGGTTCCTGGTGCCGAGCATTTCCATGCCGCGCTTTTCCTGCGAGGTCTCCATCGCGCGCGCTAAGTGTGCGATGAGTTGGCGTCCGTATGTGTCGGCGCATCAGATGAGGTGCGATGCGATGCACTGCCCGCACAGTCTTGTGTCTGGATTATAAATACACGCCCTCCTGTCACTCCGTGTTATATGATTGCACCCACGCTATTCCGTCTGACCGTCTGACTGTCTGTCATTCCTTCCGGATTGCCACTGCCGTCTGTCTGCAGTCTCCTGTGCTGACACATACGGGGTCCCATCCGTCGCTCTTGCCGCTCGTCCGTCCGTTCGAAATGCCTATTGCCTGAAGCGGCTCTGGCGTGTATAGCAGGTACATATGTGATCGTGTTAGCGTGCCTCCATGCCTCTCCGACACCCTTCGGCACCTCTTCGCCGCCGGTCTCTATTTCCGCACGGCGGTCGTGTATCCGGTGTTGGCAGTTGTGATGCTCCACGTACGCTGCTATGGTGCCATGTATACCTATTCCCGTACCGCTGCCTTTGCCGTCTCCGGCCGTTTATGTGTTGCATATATCCCGTTCCTTTCGAACATGTTGTCGCCGCTGTCCACCCATCGCAGGTCCTGCGATGTATACTCTGCTTAGTCGACAGCGAGGGCCCTAATAACACACGGACGCGACGTACGAGCGCCCGCAGCAACACGTCACCACGACGGATGTCGTGCCAGTACACCGTCCTGCCGCCTATGCGGCGGTGCTAGCTGCTGCCGATCGCGTGCTATGCAGGCACCGCGGCTTCTGCCATTCACCATGCACTCGACAGGTATGCTCCCGGCCCGACTTCCGCCCCCTTTCAGTCCTCGTCGTGACCGTACTAGTACCCGCCCCCATGTCACTCCGTATTATATGATTGCACCCGCGCTATTCCGTCTGACCGTCTGACTGCCTGTCATCCCTTCCGGATTGCCGCTGCCGTGTGTCTGCACACACGTTTGCAGCCGTTCATATATTGTATATATCCCGTTCCTTTCTACCATGCATCTTACCGCTGTCCACCCATGGCAGGTCATGCGGTATGGGCTCTGCTTGGTCGGCAACGAGGGCCCTATTAACACACCGACGCGACGTACGAGCACCGCAGCAACACGTCGCCACGACGGATATCGTGCCAGTACACCGTCCTGCCGCCTACGCGGCGGTGCTGGCTCCAACCTCCGCCCCGTCTCGGTCCTCCTTCGCCCACGTTATCGTGACCGTACTAGTACCCGCCCCCCTGTCACTCCGTGTTGACTGTATGATTGCACCTGCGCTATTCCGTCTGACCATCTGACCGTCTGTCATCCCTTCCGGATTGCCGTTGCCGTGTGTCTGCAGTCCCCTGCACTAACACGCGTTTCCAGCCGTTTGTATATTGTATATATCCCGTTCCTTTCTAACATGTTGTCACCGCTGTCCACCCGTGGCAGGTCATGCAGTATGGGCTCCACTTAGTCGACAGCGAGGGCCCTATTAACACACGGACGCGACGTACGAACGCCGCAGCAACACGTCACCACGACGGATGTCGTGCCAGTACACCGTCCTGCCGCCTATGCGGCGGTGCTAGCTGCTGCCGATCGCGCGCTTATGCAGGCACCGCGGCTTCTGCCATTCACCATGCACTCGACAGGTATGCTCCCGGCCCGACTTCCGCCCCCTTTCGGTCCTCGTCGTGACCGTACTAGTACCCGCCCCCATGTCACTCCGTGTTATATGATTGCACCCACGCTATTCCGTCTGACCGTCTGACTGCCTGTCATCCCTTCCGGATTGCCGCTGCCGTGTGTCTGCAGTCCCCTTCGCTGACACATCCGGAACCACGGATCTTACCGTTCGTCCGTCCCTTCCGAATGCATCTTGCCTGCAGCGGCTCTAGTGTGTATGGCAGGTGTGTATGTGTTCACATGGGCCTAGCGGATACACTCTGTTTGGTCTACACGGAAGG